CTATCGGATTCTCGTAACTATTCGCTCTGCCTCCTTTTATTCACCATCACAAACTCCCTTGCCCACCAAGATAATACACCGTTTTCCTAAACCAAAACAACTTCCTAAAATTTAATAACCTAGGATGGACCGACCCTTTTTTTTCCTTTATCCTTTTTTTTTTCTTTCTTATTTTTATTTTCCCTTCTTTTAATTGATTTTTGGGGTATCCCTAAAATAAAAAAAAAAAAAAAAAATTGATTTTTGGGGTATTGTAACTTTATAAGCGTATGAAGACTACAATTTTCGGATGCTTAGTATTATTTGCAACTTTTCTAAATATTTCCATTTATAGTAAGTATTTTTAGTGAAAATGTCAATATTGCCCTTACTTAATAAATTAAACATTCACTTAGAGAATTAGCTAAAACACATTATCATCCTAATCTAATTTCATTAATTTAACAACTCGCACCAAAAATAAAATCAATCTCCCGACCACCTAACACATTAAATGGCCTAGATTAAATCACCAAATCATCAGATAGAAACCCTGGTTCTTTTGGTTTGTTCATCTTTCTCATTTACGTATTTCTCTCTCCTCTTTGAATTGGCATCTCCTTCATCTCCTTTCTCTGTCTTCTCTTCTTCGTTCTCTTTCTTCTCTCTGGTCTTCTTTTACCCCCTAAAAAACATATTCTATTGAAAATGGATCTAAGCCCACTATATGAAGCTCTTTTCGCCACTGATAATGAAATCGAGCAGGGTTTCATTGATGCTCTAATCAGAGCTTTGAACAACGGGCTTCGCGGCGTAGCTTATTCTTTATGTCGGGCAAAGGTGGCAAAATATTTAGCCAACAAACATTTGCTGCGATTGGTAAAGTGCTAAGATCTATTGAAGATGAGGAAGGAGCCCAAAAATTAAGTACGGTATGCTTGAATGTTGGGGAAAGGGAATTGACAACTGAACCTGTTTCTGAGATTGGTGGTTCAAAAGAACCCAGATCTGTCGCTGAGGTTGATGGTTCGACACAAACCAGATCTGTTTCTGCGATGGGTGGAAAGTTAGGGTCGGGTCGTGGGAAAAAAAAAACCCAAAACACAAGTCCGTACCAAACCTAACTACTACCCTAAGATGATACCTAGGGTCTCTACTACACAAATTAGAAGAATGTATGGGTTTGGTGCTAATAAGATCACACCAATTTACGATGATGATGATAAACATGAGTCCCCCCCTACTGCTAGTGAATCTGATGTTGAGCCTGCAAGTAAGCGAATGAAATTTGGCCTTCCCACTGATTAACCTGTTCTGGGTAACTATTTATGATCCCTAATTTAATCGATATTTATGTTATTATGTGCTGGGTTGATTGATGAATTGTTGTTGGTGAGAATGATTTAATTGTTGATTATCTATTTTAGTATGGTTCAATTGTTGGTTATCTATTTTTGTATGGTTTAATTGTTGATTGATGAAATGCTGTTGGTGAGAATGGTTATTATCTATTTTTGTATGGTTTAATTGTTCATGAATGAGTTCTGTGCTATTACAATGCAGGTTGTCTATTGGTTTGTTGTTTTATTGAAAGTGTTGTTCTTGCATATAAGCTAAAAGTGTTGTCTTGTTTGCCTTGCATATTAGTTTTATTGCCTGGTTTCCTGCTTGACCATGCTTATGGATGGAGGAAAACACATTGATGAAATATACTAGGTTTTTAAGTTTTAGGGGGTTGATATTGGAGCCTGTAATGTAGGTTATTCATAATGTAGCAATTTAAAGGAACGCGCGGAATGTGAGTAATTAATTAATTTAATTACTCTTATTTTATTTTAATATTGCTAGTATTAGGATTAGGTTATTTATTATTTGATTTGAAACACATTATTATTGTCAAATTGCTTCCAATATTAGTGAGAATTCAGTATATTTATTGATCACCATATTGCATGTTTAAAGGGAATATGTAATTGAAAATCACGCCTAATAAGATAATTTGGACAACCGGTTTAGGTTCCTTTTTTAATCTTATCGTTTAATCAAGTGATCACTAATATTTTAGAATTATGTGTTGCATTAATATTAAACCAATTTTTAGCTTAATAATAGTTTGGAGCAAATTGAATCTTTGATTGCATGCCTTTGAGATTGCAGGAATCACTTTTCACTATAAGAATCGAGTAGAGGCCAATACAGGCGAATGTGACTCCATGACTCACTTCGTACCATCATCCCCGATCCTCCTTTCGTGGTTCCAAACCACATGGAGTTAGTAATCTCATGGATTATGAATGGGGTGTAACCTTCACGGGTCAATCGTTGTTGCCTTCGTTGTCCCTTATTCGTGGTTGCCTTTTATGATCCGTGAACGGTTTACAAGTTCCTTAAAAACTTGTTGGCGGCTCCCTACTTTCCTTGTCCCTAATCGTATTATGTCAATTCCCACTTCCTATGAGTGCCAAGCATATTCACCACATGCTTTAACGTAGGCGCACTTCGAGCGACGCCTACAATTTGGCGACTCCACTGGGGAGGATTCTTGGTTATTTATAGATTTGAGTGATCGGTATTTAATTAAGATGAGTGGATGAGACTTGAAAGATTCTTGAATTGTATTCCTGCAATTTAATTGGCATTGTCACATATGCATATGCAATTTTAGGTCACCTATTTTTCCACAATAGTACGTGTTCTACGTATGTGGCTAGCCCGGGGGATTTAAGCTATATCATTCCGAAAACGTTCATGACAATAAGGGTTCACCCGAGTTTTTAAATCCACCCAAACCATGGAGTCGAGTTCGATTTCATCACAAACTCGCGGAGCCACCCGTTGGCATACACCCTCAAGGGAGGTTTCCTTGCTAACGCGTCCAAACTCTTAACCATGGTACCCTTTGACACCCTTTAAGCTTGACCATAGTCGAACATAGAACTTGACTTTAGGTTGCGAACTTCATTGCATCATTCGTGAAAATGTGCTTATATGTGCATTTTTTTTACTTTTTATTTATTTTTTTTTCTTTCTCTTATCAAACCCTTTTTTTTTAATTATTAGAGTCGCGTCATAGATTTTTTTTAAAAATATTTGAGTCACCCGAATTTTTATTCTCTTATCCTGCACAAGAGTCAACTAATTTTGGTCATATCCGGAGTTGTAGAAAGAGTTATGTATCTTGTAACCTATGGATCTGTAGCCCCGAGTTTTATCTTTCATTTGGAATTGGTTTCGTCCCAATCAGAGTCACGGATCAAAAGTTATAACCGATATACTACAGCCTATCCAGTTTAAGTGTCTTTTTAGCGTCAATTTTTTTTTTATTTATTTTTTTTAACTTTTCGTGTCAAGCTTGTCTTAGCCAAGTCCTTTAATCCGTGTCAACTCATATAACATATTATTTTTATTTATTTATTTTTTTATACCCATGAGTCCTAACTCTTCTAGAATTCTAGTCCTTTTCCTAGTTTCTTGTGATTTTTTGTGCTAACCTTAACATGTGTTCTTTGTCTTTGATTTTGGTTGATCTTATTTATGACTAACGATTTCCAATGGACCGTTTTCACCTAGTAAATAGCATAAACATTAAAATTGGACAAAATTAATCAAGTTAGTTTGTCTTTTAGTCTTCCGTGCTATTTGGCCATTGGGTCCTTTGTTTTTCACAACGTCCTCATGTCTAGCCATGCGATCATACCACGAGTCTTAATAAACTCACCTAATCTCACATGTTGAGTCATCGCACACACTTTGTCTTCGAGTAATGCACTATATTGTTTATGATCGTATATTAGGACCATGCATGCGTCGTTTTCCGTCGTAATAGGAATGAGTGGAGTTTTTCCCATCAGATTTCAAAATTGTTTCTTACACTCTTCCTTTCCAATCTGAGTATTGAGTGAATGCATTAAGTGAGTTCATCCTTACAAAGTACTTGAGTCTAAAATCACTAGGCAATAGTTGGAAGAATAAGGGGAACATCATTCCTTCCTTCTTTTCTTCTAAACAAAGCATCAACAACAACATATTTCTTGTCCCCCCTAGCGGTAACAAGTAATTCATAAGCAACCATGAAGACAAAGCACAAGACAAGTTTCCATACAAGATTTCATGCTTTTTCTCTTCTTTTGTTTCAACCTTCTCCCCTAATAAGTCTAGCATAGGTTCCCGTTATCCATGTGTATTATCTATGTGTCATATTTCTTACCTTTTCCATCAATGAGCATTCCTTTCCTTTGTAATCGATCATCGAATTCATTCGCAAAAAAAAAAAAAAAAAAAAAAAAAAAAAAAAAAAAAAGAAAAAAAAATCAATTACCGAACTAAACACAAGGTACACCAATGACTTGAGGCACCTCTGCAACCCTGTCATTCCCTGTTAACCGTTCAATCACATTCCATTTCTTCATCAACCACTTTGAGCCTCGTCTAATGTTTGCCCTACATTTCTTCAACCCACATTCACTTAACCCTGGGATTGGAAGATGTGTAATTGTATAACATTCAAAAAGCAAGTAAAAAAAAAAAGCAGCAAAGCAACAATAAAACAATGTCTAAAGGCAAGTGTTCCAATGTCTTTGATATGAACACGTCTCAAATTGCGTCTCTCATCGAGTGCTTGGTACTGTGCCTGAGAAACATGAATGCTAAGCGAGTGATGGACCGCATGATCTGAGATTGCCTACATTGATTCAAAAGAATGAAAAAAAAAAGAAATTCAAAAAATGTTGAAAATAAAACTTGCAAAGTCTAATACATAATTGCATATCTTGGGGGCTTCTCTTGGGTCTTAAGCCTTTTATGACTTTCTTTCTTAAACCTTCAGCTTAACCACCTTACAACCCTTGAAAGACCTCTTTGAGGTGTACATACACTTGTGCAAAGTTCGGTTAGAGCTACGTTTGGACTGATTCCTAACGGATACGTAGGCAACCTCACATCGAGGTGCCACTAGTAGAAAAATTGAAAATGCCACCGCTTAAAGGCCACCGGTTTTTGAAAACCGGTGGTTTAAAAAATGGTCGCGCAGAAGGCAAATGGTATTGCCACCGGTTCGAACCGAACCCATGGCAATAATAATTAAGGCCACCGGTTTTAAACCGGTGGCAATATTTGAATAATTAAAAAAATCGCACCCCTTCTTCTTCTCTTTCCCCATTCTCTATACTTAGCTTCACTTTTATATTGCGACCAAACCTCCAATTCAAGCCGCAGAAACAACGCATCCAAACCCTACCACCACACACGCCACCAGTGACGCCACAGCTACCGCACCACCATCCACCACCTCCGAACTCCCTCCAAACCTCCTCCACCACTGAGCAAAGCAGCAAGTAGCCACGGGTTTTATATTATTCGAATTTTCGGGGGAACTTCCTCCACCACTGACCAGGTGCGTGGTCCGTCCACCACCTGTCAGCACTGACGCCATAGCCACCGCACCACCATCCCACAGCCACCGCACCACCATCCCACAGCCACGCACCGTCCGAAATTGAGGCATAATTTTCTGGTAATTTTTTCTGAATTTCTGGGTTTTTTTTTGTTGTTGGTAGGGTTAAAACTTGAGAGAATGCATCTTAAACTTGCAAGAAATTGATTAATTGTTCATGAATTAGGTTATTTTTTTGATTTTTCTGGGTTTTTTTGTTGTTGGTAGGGTTAAAATTTTAGAGAATGCATCTTTAGAAATCAAGAAATTGATTTATTGTGTGTATCTTTAGAATGTAAGAAATTGATTAATTGTTCATGAATTTATTGTATAATTGAAAATATATTTTGAATAATTTTTTTATTTCTTTCACTGTATTATTATTATTATCATTTTGTTGTTGTTGCTTAATTTTTGGTTAATTATAGTATGAATTATTGAACTGTTTTGGAGTTAGATTGAGGAGTAATCCGTTTTAGATTACATTACATAATGATTTTCCTAATGCTTTTAGGAAATATATGGATTATGGAGTATGATATGATATGTTGGAGTGATGTTAAATTGATAGGTTTTATTAGGAAATTTTGAATAAATTAGAGATTATTAGTAACCTTGTTACTTAAATAGTTGAATTTGGTAGTATATTGTTGTTTTAATTTCTTTTATATTATTATTATTATTATCAATTTGTTGTTGTTGCTTAATTTTTGGTTAATTGTAGTATGAATTGAATTATTTTGGAGTTAGATTGAGGAGTAATAATCCGTTTTAGATTACATTACTTCCTAATGCTTTTAGGAAATATATGGATTATGGAGTATAATTTGATATGTTGGAGTGGTGTTAAATTGATTGTTAGGTTTTATTAGGAAATTTTGAATAAATTAGAGATTATTAGTAACCTTGTTACTTAATTAGTTGAAGTTGGTAGTATGTTTAAATGTGTAATTTTAGGTTGTTTTATAGTTCTTGACAAAATTACTAACTTTTATTTTTTGTTTTATTTTTTATTTTTGTAGATTCATATTATTTAGTGAACCACAAGTTTATTATCTTTTCAAGTGGGAAGTTCGAGACATTACATCCATTATACTTGCTATATTGGTATGAACTATAAACTTTATGGAGTTATATTTCTTTCTATTTATCCATTTGATAATACTCTGGCAAGAGGGTTTTCACTATCATTTCCGGTTGCCCCCCCTCTAGGGGTCTGGTTGTCATTTGGGGGTGCCCTTTTCCTCCTTTCTGGAAGAACCTGGGCGAAGTTAGTAAAGTTTGTTCATGATATTACAAGTTGTGTCTTGTTTAATTATAAATAATTACAATAATATGTTGAATGTTTGCATCATCATATGCCTAGATACCCGTTCAAGGCTTTCTCATTAGGAGAAAGTCTTGAATAGTCCCCGGTTGGGACTGTTCTTGAATGTTTACTCTCACTTAGGTGGTGAATGTATGTCTTTTTTCGATTTTAAGGAACATCTTGGTTGTCCATTTCTTCTCCATGTTCTTTGGGTATATATGTGGGTAAGTAATTATCTACATCTTGTACTTGGAGAACTGGGGGGAAGTGCTGCCGGATTTTCCTTAAAATTGGAAAGTTGACATACATTCACTAGTGAGAGTAGACATTCAAGGATGGGATAGGTTGGAGTGATAAGGACACTTTGGAAACATGCATTTGTTCACTATATGAATGGTATATTCACGATGTGTACTTGAAGTTGATTTACATAAGATATGTAGCAATTGTACATTATTGATAATATGTGGCTATATATGTTTAGAGACACTTTCCTAAATGGGAAAGGATCGTAGTTGGATGTATGGTAGACGTGATACAATTGATTTTTGGAATGGGGTTCAAGAGTTTTGCGAGACGGCTTTATCTTATCAGCGCAAAATTGGTGAGGAAGGCCTATATTGTCCTTGTGTTGATTGTAATAATGTGAAGGTGGTCAATAGTGTTGAAATCATTAGAGATCATGTACTTTGTCGTGGGTTTAGACTTAAATACCATGTGTGGATTTGGCATGGTGAAAGTGGAGAGTATAGTGAGGATCTTGATGGGAATGATGTGCATGATAAAAGCAATGAGATTCATGTGGACGAGGAATAGGAGAATGATGAATATGTTATTGATAGTGGTGAGGATGGAGCTGAGGATCATCCAGTGGATGAGGTCAAGGATAATGACGTGGATGAGATGTTGCATAATGTCGAAGGTGATGTGTTTGAATTTTTATCGGAGGCTTCCAAAAAGCCTTTGTACCCTAGGTGCAAAAAATACTCCAAACTTTCTGCCGTGCTAACACTTTTTAACATTAAGTCGAAGCATGGGTGGACGGACGTTAGTTTTACTTCTTTGTTGACCGCATTAAGTGAGATTTTGCCTGATGGGAATGAAATTCCTACGTCTTACTATTATGCAAAGAAGCTTATGTTTCCATTTGGTTTAGAGTATAAGAAGATACATGCCTGTCCTAATGATTGTATTTTGTATCGTAATGAGAATGAACAATTGGAGGAGTGTCCACGATGCAAGCAATCGCGCTACAAGCGCATAAGTTGCAATCCTGGTACGAAGGGACCTCCTGCTAAGGTGTTGTGGTATCTTCCTATTATTCCAAGGTTTAAGCGTCTATTCTCAACACCAAAAGACGCTAAAAACTTGAGGTGGCATGCCGAGGAAAGGAAGAAAAACAGAATGCTGAAGCATCCAGCTGACTCCCTGCAATGGAAGAACATTGATTTGAAGTTTCTGGAGTTTGGTAATGAAGTCAGAAATTTAAGACTTGGGTTGTGCACAGACGGGATGAATCCATTTGGCACTCTTAGTACCCAACACAGCACTTGGCCGGTTCTTTTAGTGATCTACAATTTGCCTCCTTGGTTATGTATGAAACGGAAGTATATAATGCTTTCATTGCTAATAACGGGGCCTTGGCAACCTGGAAATGACATCGATGTTTACCTTGCGCCACTAATTGACGATTTGAGAAAGATGTGGGACGAAGGGGTTTCTTGTTTTGATGCTCATAAGAATGAGGTGTTCACATTGCGTGCAACCCTTATGTGGACCATGAATGACTTCCCTGCATATGGCAACCTGGGTGGGTACAAGGTTAAAGGGAAAAAAGCATGCCCCATATGTATTGATGAAACATCAAGCATATACCTTAAGAATTTTCACAAAGATGTGTATTTAAGGACTCGAAAGTTCCTTAGGCGTGATCACCCGTACCGTAGGCAAAAAAAGGCTTTCGATGGGATAGTGGAAGAGGAGATTGCGCCTAGGCCATTGACCGGTGTTGAGGTTTATGCTCGAGTTAAGGGTATACGAACAGTGTTTGGAAAATTTGAAAAAGCTCCGGTCTCAACAACACTTTTCAAAAAAGAAACAATTTTGTGGAAGCTTCCGTATTGGAAAGAACATGATGTTAGACACTGTCTTGATGTGATGCATATAGAGAATAATGTGTGTGATGCTCTTGTGGGAACACTTTTTAATATTTCAGGCAAAACAAAGGATGGAAAGGTTGCACGGTTAGATTTGGAAGAGATCGAGATTCGTCCAGAATTGTGGCCTCAAGACAAGGTTACAAAGGGGAAGGACCGAAAGGGAAAGGAACCGGAATAAGAATCTGTAAATGTTTCGAAAAAAGGAAAGGGGAAGAGCAAGGGAAAGGGAAAGGCCGCGGATGCTTCAAAGAGTCGAGATGAGGGTAAAGGCAAGGTTGAGAAGAAGTATTTACCACCGGCTTGCTACACATTGTCAAGAGTAGAAAAGCGGATGTTTTATGCATGTCTTTACGGCATTAAGGTTCCATCTGGGTACGCATCTAACATGAAAAGATTTGTATCCTTAAGTGGAGAACTGAAGCTGACAAGTATGAAATCCCATGATTGTCACATGTTGATGCAAGTATTTCTACCGATTGCAATACGTGGTATTTTACCGAGGCACGTGAGGGAAGTTATTACAAGCCTATGTTCGTTTTTCAATACAATATGCAGCAAAGTGCTTGATCCTTGTACACTTGATGCTTTGCAAACGGATGTGGTTGTGACTTTGTGCAAATTTGAGATGTATTTCCCACCCTCATTTTTTGACATAATGGTGCATCTCATTCTTCATTTGGTGCGTGAGATTAAGTTATGCGGTCCAGTTTTCTTGAGGTGGTGCTATCCTTTTGAAAGACACATGGGCACACTGCAAGATAAAGTAAGGAATCCGGCTCATCCGGAAGGAACCATGATTCAAGGGACCGTGAGTGAGGAGATTGGTAATTTTGTGGCCGACTATTTAGCCGTTGCTGAACCTATTGGTCTTCCTGCTTCTCGACATGAAGGGAGACTAGATGGTCATGTCACAATTGGGTCGAAACGAATGTTATCAGATCGAGATCAGTTCTTACAAGTACACCTTTATGTGTTGCACCATGTTGCTGATGTTCACCCATATTTAGATGAGCACATGGCTAGTTTGCGTGATGAATTTCCATCGAAAGGTGAAAGGGCACTAATGCAGTTTCATAATAAGAGGTTTGTGAGTTGGTTTAGTGAACGAGTGATGAGTCTCTTGGATAATAGTGTCACCGATACAGTAAGGTGGCTTGCTTATGGTCCTAGGGATGATGTTCGCTCATTTGAGGGATATGACATCAATGGGTACACTTTTTGGACAGAGGGTTGGGATTTGAAATCTACGTCGTCCCAAAACAGTGGAGTAACGCTTGTGGCATCGTCAAGGGAATTTGCAAGTGCTAAGGATAAATCACCTGTCGATGCAAAATTGTCATACTACAGTCGAATTCAAGAAATATGGGAGCTTGATTATTGTAACTTCACGGTTGCTCTTTTCAAATGTAAGTGGGTTGATATTATCAGGCGTAATGTCAAGTATGATGACTTTACTCTTATAGATCTTGGGCACTTGAATGATAGTGCGGAACCGTTCATCCTATCTTCTCAAGCTAAGCAAGTGTTCTATGTAACTGACCCAGTCGATTCAAAATGGTCCATTGTGCTAGCTGGGAAAAGAAGAATCCTAGGTGTTGGAGATGTTGAAGATGAGGAAGAATACAATGCATTTGATGATTCAGCACCTTTCACTGTTCCTAGACCTATTGCATCAAATGACATAGACGACCAGACATGTTATATGCGGTCAGACCACAACGAAGGAATATTAGAATGAGGTACTATAACAGTTAATTTGAAATTGTAAGCAATTAAAAGTATTATTAAATTTAATTAGAAGTTAGGTAATTTTATGAATAATTTGAGGGAAAATGTATGATATTGTTATCTTAGTTGCTAAATTTTCACAAATTCTTGTTAATGAATGAAGTATATCTCAAAATTGACATATTATGATAGGGTTTAATTTTTTTAGTGTTAACGGTACTAGAAAATAACAAGTTACGTCAAAATGCATCAAAAATGATAGAATTTAATATTTTATATGCTAACATGTATTATGACCTATATGTCAACATTTTTATCTCTTATGGACCTAATATCGTGTTATGTTTGTAATGGCAGGTGTTTATAACTCATGGAGGACGATTATGACCCACTAGTAGAGGATTTGGAGGATGATGATGATGGCTATGAGGATGAGGATGAGGATGAGGATGAGGACAAGGATGAGCCATATGATTTCAACAAGGAGACTGATTTGGGTGAGCCAGAAGATCAGGAACAAGATGCTTTTGAGCGCAGGCTTGATGAATTTGAAATTTCAGCTGAATGTGCGCCTCCTATTGATTCTACAATTGTTGAGATTGTTGGTGAGAACACTATTCCTCAAACTCAAAGCCAAGGACAGGAGCAATTGAACACAGGTGGTGGAGTGGGGGTAAAGGCACCAGCTAAGAGAAAGGGTAGGGGTCAACAACAAGTTTTAAGAAGCCAACCGGTCCCATGGTGTTAGAGTATGACAAAAGAGGCCGACCTACTGGCCAATGGATTCGGAAATATGCAAACCAAATTGGCATATGATCGCGCAAAATCCCCATTACACTTTGTTGGAAGCAAGTACCTCCAGGCTTGATTCAAACATTTTGAGATGATACCAGGGCAAGTGTTTTGTTCAAATGCACATTTACATGTATTACAAATAATTTCACCTAATGTTTGTTTGTAAATGGAAAATAATAATTGCTTGTATTTGTGATTGCAGAAGCTGTTTAATATTCCTAATGATCCCTAGAAGAGAAGGGTGTTTGATTCTTTACTAGCGGAGAGATTCAGAGGCTTCAAGACCCACTTGACCAGTGGATGGATCTATAAGAAAAAGAAACACAAGAAGAAAGCTTCCAAGGGAAATGATGGTGAAGGTGGAAATGAGGAAGATGTTGAGGAATAAGACCCACCGCGGAAAAAATGGCCAAGCGTGACGGAGGACGAGTGGAAAGAATTTGTTATTCAAAAAACTCGACCCAAAGCAATTGTAAGAACTACTAAATCTAATGAGAATTGTATAATATATTGAATATTTTTGCAGTAATGATGCTAACATTACTATTTATGTAGGAAATTCGAGAGCAAAACAAGGCAAATGCATTGCAGAAGGAGTACCGCCATCGTACGGGGGCCAAGACATTTGGTGAATGGAGGCAAACTTGGAAGAAGGAGGGTATATAACCCACTTTGACTCAAGGGTCATCCGAAGAACCCTCCAACTCCATGATCACTACGTTGGTTAGTCGTGCTGGCGATTTCATTTGTTCTCTACATTCCTTTGATAAGGACACCGAAAAATGGGTCATCAATGAACCAGAAAAAAAAAGTGGCTAATAAACTTGTAAGCTATTTGAAACTTTAGCATAACTTTAACATACAAAAACATTATATGTATTCATGTTAACATTTTTTCTTATGCTACAGCTTGAGTACACTACAGAAGTTGTTGAAGGCAAGCTGGTCCCGACTACAGAGAAATACCCTTTCACCTTAGCTTTGGGAAAGCCCTACCATCCAGGCCGGGTATTAGGTATGGGAGGGTCGTTTCTAGGATGGGAGAAGGTGATGTGTTCAGAATACACAAAAATGGGAAAATCTCGAGCAAGTGTTAACTCACCAGAAGAATTGGATGCCAAGGTGGCATCCATCAAGGAACAAGTTCGCAATGAGTTAATAGGTGAATTCAATGCTTGGGCAAAGCAAATAAATTTACCCTTGCCGTTCCCCCCGACTACACCAGTCGACTCCAGTAGTCACCCAAAAGGACAAGGAGAAGATGAGAGGCATGGAGAAGAAGAGATACATGAGGTAGTTTTCTATCTATTAGTTTTGGCCTAGCTAGTGAGTTACGTGAGATCTAATGTGGCATTATTGATTAATTATTGCAGGTTGTTACTCCCACACATGCGGACTCGAGGGAGGTTGATAATCCAACACCCCATGAATTTCCAGATTTAGAGGTGAATTTAGGATTCGAGGGAACATGTTTGGTTTTAACATAGTGAATTTCGTTACATGATCAATTGTGTAGGAAAAGACCCTTTTTGATAATTTCAGTTTTTACAAGTGAATTTCGTTACTGGTGTAGGTAGAGACCGAGTGTACACTTCTAGCCCCGGGGCTATCAAATGGAGGAGAGTTTCAGTTGGTGGCGTATGGTAGTGCACAAGCGACGACTGGTGATACGGTCCTTTTCCAATCACTTAGGCCACAACATTACTCGGTCGGGATCAATTCTTACATTGTTGGGTTCGAAAACATCCCACTACCGGTGCCTATAGTGGATGATGGGATTACTCTTCTTTGGGAAGCAAAGGGTAGCTATGTGCAATGGCCACGTGCTTGGGTGAGGTTGATCAACGAGGTAATATTTATTTTGATGTTGTGCAAAATAACAAATCTGCATGCGTACTTACTAGCTTAAACCCCGACCAAAATTTTTTTAACTCTAATTATCTTTGTTTTGATCAGATTTCGAAAAAAAAAGTCAACCATCAAAGAGAAGGAAGGTGGAGAAGCCTAAAAGCGTTGATCAACCTACAAAGAAGATGAGTGAACAAGGGTCGAAGAGTGAACAAGTGTCGAAAAAGAATTCTTCGAAAGGTTCAGCCATGCAACCTACTCCACTTTTTGGAGACAATGTCCTTCAATCGCTCACTAAGGATTTAACTTTTCTACATAATCGTTTTAGTCATTTGCCTAGTGACGATCCCATTGAAATTGCACTTCCTAAGGCAATGTTCCATTATGATGAGGATGCAAGTGCATGGTTAAACAAACAAGATGTGAAGGAATTTTTAAGAGGTTTCAATGCTTAACATTTCTCTCATTTAAATATTCATGAGGTATGGGCACATTCCACTTAAATTAATTATGTTATTCATATTAGTGTTGTTTATCCTTATATATATGTCAATTAATTTTTCATTGTACATGCACGTAGAGCACTACGGGAGCACTTAAGTGACACTGATTCCCCTAGTAAAGTTGGGTGGTTATGCCCCGAATAGACATCCGAGACTAGAATCTTACACAACTCCCCCGAGGTGATGTATTATGTTAATCATAGTATTAGGGAATCAATGCGTGCGGGAGACAAGTTCATATTCGCCCCATGTTATAAGGAGTACGTTTAACCATGTGTAATTCAATTATTTCTACATTTGAATATATGTTGTACCCTAATTATTGATTTGTTTGTGTATTGTGAATTTATGTAGGTTTCATTGGTTCCTCATGGTGATTTGTCCTGCTAATAACACAATCTTTCACCTTGATTCAGCTCGATCAACAAAGAAGTACCTCGTGATGTCTGTACTACAAAAGTAAATATAGCTACCTAGTTTTGATTATCTTAACCTAACTCATTTAGTAGTCACACTAATCAAATTTGAATTTACTTTCCTATAGTATTATGAAGAAGATACATGGTCGTGCTCCACGGGGTCCTACATGGAAATCACCGATGGTAATGCCACATCATATTGTGATTATCTTAATAAACATTGCTAAAACAATTGTGGATTTTATAAGACGTTTGATTCATTTGATTTGTTCCTATGCTAGTGCCCACAACAAGATAATGGAGTTGATTGTGGATTATACGTGATGAGATTCATGCTTGACATAGCGACTCATTGTACAAACACCATACATCTTGATGAGGTACGACCTTAAACTTAGAAAAATGCTCTTTTTCTGTGATTTCAAGGCTTATCCACCTATAATTAAGTATAACTGACGTGTTATGAGAAAGAACATTGTCATTAGTTAAAAAATGTAGAAAATGGGCTAGTAGAAGTCCTTTAGGCCTTATTTAGGCTATTTAGGATGAAAATGCGACCTTAAACTTAGTAAAATGATCTTTTTATGTGATTTCAAGACTTAGCCACCTATAACTAAGTATAATTGACATGTTATGAGAAAGATCATGGTCATTAGTTAAAAAATGTAGAAAATGGGCAAGTAGAAGTCCTTTAGGCCTTATTTAGGCTATTTAGGATGAAAATGCGACCTGGAACTTAGTAAAATGCTCTTTTTATGTGATTTCAAGGCTTAGCCACCTATAACTAAGTATAATTGACATGTTATGAGAAACAACATGGTCATTAGTTTAAAAATGTAGAAAATGGGCAAGTAGAAGTCATTTAGGCCTTATTTAGGCTATTTAGGATGAAAATGCGACCTTAAACTTAGTAAAATGCTCTTTTTCTGTGATTTCAAGGCTTAGCCACCTATAAATAAGTATAATTGACATATTATGAGAAAAAACATGGTCATTAGTTAAAAAATGTAGAAAATGGCCAAGTAGAAGTCTTTTAGGCTTCATTTAGGCTATTTAGGATGAAAATGCGACCTTAAACTTAGTAAAATGCTCTTTTTCTTTGATTTCAAGGCTTAGCCACCTATAACTAAATATAATTGACATATTATGAGAAACAACATGGTCATTAGTTAAAAATTGTAAAAAAAAATGGGCAAGTAGAAGTCTTTTAGGCCTTATTTAGGCTATTTAGGATGAAAATGCGACCTTAAACTTAGTAAAATGCTCTTTTTCTGTGATTTCAAGACTTAGCCACCTATAACTAAGTATATTAGTTAAATAATGTAGAAAATGCGCAAGTAGAAGTCATTTAGGCCTTATTTAGGCTATTTAGGATGAAAATGCGACCTTAAACTTAGTAAAATGCTCTTTTTCTTTGATTTCAAGGATTAGCCACATATAACTAAATATAATTGACATATTATGAGAAAGAACATGGTAATTAGTTAAAAAATGTTTAAAATGGCTAAGTAGAAGTCTTTTAGGCTTTATTTAGGCTATTTATGATGAAAATGCGACCTTAAACTTAGTAAAATGCTCTTTTTCTTTGATTTCAAGGCTTAGACACCTATAACTAAGTATAATTGACATTTTATAAGAAAGAACATGGTCATTAGTTAAAAAAATGTAGAAAATGGGCAAGTAGAAGTCATTTAGGCTATTTAGGATGAAAATGCGACCTTAAACTTAGTAAAATGCTCTTTTTCTTTGATTTCATGGCTTAGCCACCTATAACTAAATATAATTGACATATTATGAGAAAGAACATGGTCATTAGTTCAAAAATGTAGAAAATGGCCAAGTAGAAGTCTTTTAGGCTTTTTTTAGGCTATTTAGGATGAAAATGCGACCTTAAACTTAATAAAATGCTCTTTTTCTTTGATTTCAAGGCTTAGCCACCTATAACTAAATATAATTGACATATTTTGAGAAACAACATGGTCATTAGTTAAAAAATGTAGAAAATGGTCAAGTAGAAGTCTTTTAGGCCTTCTTTTTGATCGTTTTGACCTAAGTATTTAATTTTTTACATATTTATTACTCACATGTTTAACTTAACTAATTAATTTAATTTATTCTAACATAATTTATATATATTCCAAGTTTTGCAAGGTGCAAAAGGGAGATCCGTTAACAAGCAAGGACCTTAATGAAGTTCGAGACATG